GTGGTGCAGTTGGCTGGGCACCCCCTGACTGGGAAGTGGCATTGCTGGGCACAGGCCCTGGCCCTGCCCTGTGAGTGCCTGCATGTCTGGCTGGGAGGACATTGGTTCCCAGGAGCCCGAGCTTCCCAGGCCTTGAGGCAGACCTGTTAGGGGATGGCCTCCCTGGGGCACGCAGTTATCCTGGAGGCCTGCGCTGCCTTTCCAGGGCCCTGGACAGCCCCATGCTCTGCTTCTCCCCGCACCTGAGTCTCTGGCAGGCGTGGTCCTCCAGACACTGCCCCTCCTGGGCCCTGCTGGCAGTGCTGGTTGGTGGGGGGCTGCCGCATGGCTTTGGTGGTGGTAACTTCCGTCTCCGTGTTTGGTTGCTGCATGTCACCTTCCCTGCTGGTGCCCGTGGTGCAGGACTTAGAGGTTAGCAGATCATTGCTTTCTCTTTCCTCATCTGCCCTCCCCATCCTTGGCTCCTGTTCTGGCCCCCATGCACCCCATGTCTCTTGTCTGCATCTCATCTCTTGGCCTCATCTCACCTGGCAGGCTCCATCCAGGTGGCCCTGAGGTGCTGACACCCCACTTCCACACATTCAGTGTGCACAGAGCCCTTCCTAGGAGGCCCGGAGGAGCCCCGTGGGCTGCTGCTGACCTGCGGAACTCCACTGTTCCCACTTCCCGACTGCACCCTGCAGAACCAGTGCTTTAGAGTGGATGGGTGGGGGCTCCTCTTTCCTCTGCCTGTGATCTCACACTCAGTCCGCAGAGTGGAGGCAAAGTCTCTACTGTGCCTGCTTCCTACGCAGGAAACCAGGAATGAGCCCAGCACCCCTCCAGGCTCCCCCCCCAGTGCTCTGCACCCCTCGGGATTTTCTGTCAGGCTTCGGTCCTGAGGACCCCAGACCTTCAGGGACTCCAGGGGGCCAGGCAGCCCTCAGGGTGGGGGCCGGGCACTCCCTGGCAGCCTCCGGCTCGTGACTCACACTGCTCGCCAGCAGGGCTCTGGTGACTGGGCTGACAGCAGGTGTGTGGGCTGCAAGTATATTTGGTCCACACCCGGCTGGCTGCGACAGCTGCCCCCTCTGCTTTCCCTCGCATCTGTGCCAGGCGCAGCTGTGCACACCACACTCTCCCATTGGTTCCCACTCTCCTCCCCCCACCCCTTTCCTTCCTGAGAGGAGCCCCAGGGATGAGCACTTTCTCCCCCGACCCCTCTTTCCCCTACAGCTGTCCCTGAAGTGTCGAGCACCAGAGGTGTCCCAGCATGTGTACCAGGCCTACGAGACCATCCTCAAGAACTGAGGCCCCAGCCAGTGCCCACCCCAGCCTCCCGCCCACCCCATTGAAGACTCCCTGGGGTTGGCAGCACATCTTCCTCCTCACAGGAGGGACCAGGCGGGGCTCCTGGCCACCGAGGGGGCTCCCTGATCCTGATGGCAGCACCCACCCGATCCCTGGGTTGGGGCCCCACCCCCTCCTGGGGTGAGAGCACAGTGCACTCGCGTGCTCCAGGACACCCCTGCTCCTGTGGCTGTGACGTGGGGTCAGGTGAGGAGGGGACCAGAGGAAACAGCCAGAGTGGCCACAGAAACTATGTCTGAAGGGTGAGCCTGGAGCTTGCCCCTCCAACTCACAGCCCCTGGCTCCTTGGTCTCGGGTTGGTGTTAAAGGGCCCCCCACTGCCACCTCTAATGGGATGGATCTGCCAACCTAGCTTAGGTGTACAGGGAGGGGTCCCCTTGGTACCAGGAGAGCTGCTTGCTTAGGGCCTGGGGCTCAAGGGGCTGTAAGTGCCGGCAGAGGGGCAGAGCTGGGTTGGGAGGAGCCCAGGGCCTGCACCACTCACCTGCAGCCACCAGGCTGGTGCCCTGCAGCTGTGCCAGTTGGACCACAGCCTCCCGAGGCTGACCTGCATGGTCAAGACCAGGCAGGAGCTCCCAGAGCCCGTCTCGGGCTCCTGTCCCCCTGGCAGCTGCACCATCCCCCGCTCCCCACTTCTGCCCCAAGGATGGTCACTGCCTACGATACATTCCTCAGTGTCACCTCTGAGCCCACGACTCCTGCAGCAGGGACCGGGCCAAGGGATGGAGCTGGGTGAGCGGGTGCGCCTCCGTTTAGGTTTCTTCGGGGTTTCTCTGTAGTGTCTGCTGCCTCCTCCTGGCCTCCCAGGTTTCAGTTGTGTCCGAAAGAGCGTTAGGTTTTCCTGTTACTGCTGTTTAATAATAAAGAAAGATTCGGCTTTTGACAATCACAGACACTTTTTTCCCCTCCACCCAATGTCAGGATTGAAGGCTGCCTCCAAGTGGTTGGGGATGGTTTTCTGACCCTACAGTAACTAGATCTAATATATATCATCAGAAAATATATATTGTATGTTTACTCTTATTTTCAGAAAGATAAAGTGAATAAAAATGATGGCATCAAGTGTGTCCCCGGCCAGTGTGTCAGGCCTGAGGCTCTTGTCGGCGGGAGTGCTGGGCTGCAGGGACCCCAGGGTCAAGGGCTTCAGTTGTATGCACAGCTGTGGCCCCTCCTGTGGTACTCTGAGGACAGCGCCTTCCCTCCATCCTGTCTTTGGCAAGCTGACTGCTGCGGTCTGCTGCTGTCCCTGGCACCTCTCCTGCCATTGATCCCTCCTCCCCCAGAGCTGAGGCTGTCTTGCCTTGTGATGCTGCCCAGAAAGCTGGGTTCCTCTTGTGGTTTTCTCCAGCTCTCTGTCATCTGGGAGGCTCCAGGGGGCATGATCAGGGCAGCTGTGGGAGAGTGGGTGGGCACATGGACCAGGCCAGCCACCACCGAGGACACCTTGTGTGGCCCCAGTCCTGGCCCTGGCCTGGCTCCCAGGTGAGGGCAGCCAGACCCTGGACAGGGCTTCATCGGCCGAGCTGCCTATTGGCTGGTGGGCCTCAGCCTGCTTCTGAGGGAGGAGCAGCCCAGCTGCCCCTCAGCCCGTTTCAGCCCCAGCCGCTCCTTCATGTTCTGTGTGCCCTTAGCCTCCCACACACTGCCCACCTCATACACACCGCTGCCTTCCTGGCTGCCGGAAGCTGGGTGAAGACAGCCTGCCCTCTTCCAGGCATCACAGGGACCCCTGGCCCTCCACTGCCCCACCTCAGACCTCTGAAGTGTCACTGTGCTGCCCTGGGGACCCCAGGGTCAAGGGCTCAAGGTATGTCCCCTGTGGTGACCCCTCCATAGAGTCTAGAACCAACTGAGGCCCTTGACTGCACAACCCTGCTTCTTGCCTCGCCTGAGAGTCCCCAAATGCAGCTGGAGTCCTTGTCCTGCCATGTCACTTGCCTCCCCTGAGCCCAACACCTGCATGCTCTGCCTGCGGAGCAGCTGCCACCGCTCCTGTGGCCTGGTGGCTCAGCCATTTGGGGGACTTGTTACTTCGCCTCCCCACCCCTCCATTGCAAGGCCAGAAGAGTGCAATTGTGGGATCGATGTCTCCACCGGAGGCCCAGGACAAGCCACCTGGGTGGAGTGCTGGTAAGAAAACCGGACCATCCACCCCGGGACACCTCGGGTTTGAATCAGTCTGCTCAAGCCTCGAGTGATTGTGAGTGGTGCCTCACCACAGTTGGGCCCTCTTTCACCGCCCACAGTGCCCAGCATATACTGTAGAGGCTTAAGCCGCACATGGGGAAACTGAGGCAGGGAGGGCCTTCATGCTCCCAGTCCCCCACACCACTGCATCAGGAGAACAGGCACACAGGATACTCCTTTGGGGCTTGGCCTTTAGGAGGAGTGCTTTAGGATATAGCCAGTCTGTGCCCTTCAGCTTCCCTGTCCCTCCCTCACCTCCAAGGGTCATCACAGGCAGCCTCCCTCCTGCTCACGTGGCCCTTCCTGGTCCTGACGCGCTCAGGCCTCCCTGCCTCACCTCTCGGAGGCCTTGGCATCCGCAGCTTGGGGAACTTCCCTGGCTTTTCTTGGGAAGATTTCCCAGTGTCTTGAACCTTCCCAGCCAATCAGGAAATCCAACAACAGCAACCAGTTATTTCTGGAGGGTCCAACACACACCCAAGGGCTGATGGGTTCCCCTGTGCGCCAGACACTGCTAAGGCTGTTGCGGGACCGGGTTTCACACTGTTTAATCTTCAGCTAGTAGTTTGTGTTTGTTTTTATGGAGCAAGTAATTCAGGACCATGGCGAGGTCACCCAGACAGATTCAAGTTCTCCCTCTCACCCCGTCCTCTGTCCTTAGTTTCCTTCCTAAAGGCATACATTGTCGCTAGATTTTGATTTTCATCCAGGGAGGTTCTGCGCATGTGTATAAGCAAATCCATGTAGAGATTTACTAAATGAATGACAGCACACCTAGATGCTGCCAGCCCGTGGCATCTCTGACCTGACAGTCATTTCCGGAGCTGTTTCCCTATCAGTATGAGCAGACAGACCCCCTCAGCCTTCCTTGTGTGAGGATTAGCCAGTCCCCGCTGTGGGGCATTCAGGCTGCTTCTGCAGCCTAAGCAATGCTGCCTCGAATACCTCCCACATACACCCTTGCTCATAGGCAGGGACGGAGCTGTAGGCTCCAGCCCGGAACTGCTGAACGGAGGGTATACACAAGATGCATTTTCTATTTTAGCTCTGGTTTTGAAAAGGTAACACATTCACATGGGTCAAAATGTAAAAGACAAGATAGATATAAAAATCTACCCTTTTCCCTCATTTTTCTCCCCAAAGGAAACCAATGTAACTATCCAAAGAGACTCAACAGTGCCTAATGTGGATTTTTCCCCTTTTTATATACAAATTTTTCCCCAGAATACATGCTGGGCTTATATCGAAGAGGTTTTTCCATTATTAGCCCATTATAGAGAGTGTCCTCCTGCTTTTTATTTTTTTAAACAGCTGTGTGGTATTCCTTTTTTTTTTTTTTTTTTTTTTTTTTTTTAAAAAGACAGAGTCTCTGTCACCCAGGCTGGAGTGCAGTGGTATATTCATGGCTACTGCAATCTTAACCTCCCAGGCTCAAGTGATCCTCCTACCTCAGCCTCCTGAGTAGCTGGGACTACAAGTGCACACCACCACACCCAGCAAATGTGTTATTTTTTTGTAGAGACAGGGTCTTTTCATGTTGCCCAGGCTGGTCTCAAACTCCTGGGCTCAACAACCCACCTGCCTCAGCTTCCCAAAGTGCCGGGATTACAGGCATGAGCCACTGCGCCCGGCCCTTCCCGAGTTTTCAGTGTGCCACTTTGCATGTGTTTCTGAGCCACTTGTGTGTCCCTTCCTGTGAGCTGTCTTCACATTTTCTGTCATTTTTCTATCTGCTTATTGATCATTTTCTTACTGATTTACCATTATTCCTCCTTATTTTGTTATTGCTTTTTACTTTCCATGCTGACATTGGGCTTTTTAAATTTTTAAGGTGTAATTTTCTTTTAATTTTTTCTTTCTAGCACTTGTCCGCTCTTGGCTTTTGCATTTCAATCCTGTCCCATCTGGGCTTTCTGTAGGAATAGGTAGGGATCCAACTTCCCCTTTCCCCAGATGGTTCCCCACTTGTCTCCACACCATTTACTGAATAATTCATCTTTTCCCCACAGATTTGAAATGCCATTTTTATCATATTCTAAATTTCCACATATATTTGGGTATTTTTCTGGACTCTGTTCTATATCAGAGAATTTGTCTATTCATGTTTTGATAACTTTTATTTATTATTTTTTTAAAACGGGGTTTCACCATGTTGGTCAGGCTGGTCTTGAACTCCTGACCTCAGTTGATCCGCCCGCCTTGGCCTCCAAAGTGCTTGGATTACAGGCATGAGCCACCACGCCCGGCTATTTTTATTTATTTTTTTGAGATGGAGTTTAGCTCTTGTTGCCCAGGCTGGAGTGCAATGGCATGATCTTGGCTCACTGCAACCTCTGCCTCCCGGGTTCAAGAGATTCTCCTGCCTCAGCCTCCTGAGTAGCTGGGATTACAGGCATGTGCCACCACACCTGGCTAATTTCATGTTTTTTAGTAGAGTTGGGGTTTCTCCATGTTGGTCAGGCTGGTCTTGAACTCCCAACCTCAAGTGATCCGTGTGCCTTGGCCTCCCGAAGTGCTGGGATTACAGGCATGAGCCACTGTGCCCAACCTTTTATTAATTAAAAAAAAATTTTTAGGCCGGGCGCGGTGGCTCAAGCCTGTAATCCCAGCACTTTGGGAGGCCGAGGCGGGTGGATCACGAGGTCAAGAGATCGAGACCATCCTGGTCAACATGGTGAAACCCCGTCTCTACCAAAAATACAAAAAAATTAGCTGGGCATGGTGGTGCGTGCCTGTAATCCCAGCTACTCAGGAGGCTGAGGCAGGAGAATTGCCTGAACCCAGGAGGCGGAGGTTGCGGTGAGCCGAGATCGAGCCATTGCACTCCAACCTGGGTAACATGAGTGAAACTCCGTCTCAAAAGAAAAAAAAAAAAAAAAATTTTTTTTGAGACGGAGTTTTGCTCTTGTTGCCCAGGCTGGAGTGCAATGGTGCATTCTTGGCTCACCACAACCTCCGCCTCCTGGGTTCAAGCAATTCTCCTGTCTCAGCCTCCCCAGTAGCTGGGATTACAGGCATGTGCCACCACGCCCGGGTAATTTTTTGTATTTTTAGTAGAGACAGGGTTTCACCATGTTGGCCAGGATGGTCTCGATCTCTTGACCTCGTGATCCACCCACCTCGGCGACCCAAAGTGCTGGGATTACAAGCGTGAACCACCGTGCCCAGCCGATTTTTATTTTATTCATTTATAATTTATTGTTGAGACAGGGTCTCACTCTCAGCTCACTGAAACCTCCACCTCCCAGGCTCAAGTGATCTTCCTGTCTCAGCCTCCCAAGTAGCTGGGATTACAGGTAAGAGCTATCATACTTGACTAATTTTTGTGTTTTTTGTAGAGATGGGGTTTCCCCATGTTACCCAGGCTGGTCTCAAACTCCTGAGTTCAAGTGATCCACCTGCCTCGGCCTCCCAAAGTTCTGGGATTATAGGCATGAGTCACTGCACCCAACCATGTTTTTAATTTTTTGAGTCAGGGTCTCACTCTCACCCAGGCTGGAATGCAGTGACACGATCATAGCTCACTGCAGCCTTGAACACCTGGGCTCAAGCACTGATCCTGCATTAGCCTCTCAAGTCATTGGGATTACAGGTGTGAGCCACAGCTCCCAGCCATATTTTGATAACTTATTGTACCCTCTTATTCCCACTTGTTTCTATTTGAACTTTAGAACTAGTCTGTCCTTAAAAAAAAAAAATTGGCCTGGTGCGGTGGCTCACACCTGTAATCCCAGCACTTTGGGAGGCCGAGGTAGGCGGATCACCTGAGGTTGGGAGTTCAAGACCAGCCTGACCAACGTGGAGAAACCCCGTCTCTACTAAAAATACAAAATTAGCCAGGCATGGTGGCACATGCCTGTAATCTCAGCTACTTG